TACAAAATAGAAGAAAATGACTATCTCAAGTTGTGGCCCATGTGAAGAGCAAATTGGGCCTTGACTGGCCCAAGTCGTCATGTCTAGCCCATTCCTCTTGACTCCTTCAAGATGTCACCTCTTGCCTTCCTTCCTAGGCATGATTCCATCAGAGTCTTACAAATGATATTAGAGCAACTCTTGATATGATTTAGGGACGAACCAAGAGGATGTTGGTGGCTTTGTAATAGCCTAAACACACCAGAATGAGAAGGATCCATAGATTTGTACAAATGTGAGATTGTACAGTTAAGGATGATTTAAAGAAATTAATACTACCAATATGAAAAAGATGTCTCTACTTTTCGATAGTTCATCACTTGAACTCTACAATTAAGTATGTTTCACTTGTAGAGATTTATGGATGATGAACCTTCTGGGTGACCTCTCGATAACTGATTACATAAGGAACAAGTATAATCTAGAAAACAAAAATTCATGTTTTAGTCAATTACATGATGGTGTACAACCAATTACCTTACATGCATTCAATTTTTGGATTACATCTATGATCAATGTAATTGATTATATGATCAATTTAATCTATTACATCAATCTAACATTTTTTCTATATAAACCAAACACCTTTCATTTGCATGATGAGTTCAAATATGATTAGAAGCACTTGTGTGAGACTTTTTTGCCAAGCGAAAATGCGTTTTCTTTAAGAAAGTTCAAGAGAGTAAACACATGTGAGTGAAAAGTTTTTTGTGAGAGAGAATTCATCATGAAAATGCTTATGAATCTTTCATAAACCAAGAAAAGCTTTCTTTAAGTTCAAGAAGCATTCAAAATCAAGGTAAAACTTCACTATTTATGTTGTTTTGTTCTTTGCTTTCTTTTCAAGAAGTTGGGGTAGATTTATTGTTGTAGGGTTTTCAATTCTATTTAGGCCGAGTATTCTGGAGATAACTTTTCTTAAGTGTACAAGTTAGGGAATGGTTCCCTAATTAGAGTTTAGCTAAAGGTTCTCATAAATGTTATGGAAATGTCTATACTTGATGGAAGTACTTGGAGAAGATTGATGTTTCTTCAAGTTGAACCATGCTAAGTCCCTTCTTCTCTTGAGGTTCTTCACGTCAATGGAAGATTTGGATGAGTTCAAGCTTCAAAAGCTTTAAGATGCTTCCCAAGGTGGTTCGGTTTCTCTTGAAGGAGAGAAACTTGAGGAACCAAGCACAAAGGAGAAGTTCCTTTGTGAAGTTTCTAGGAGAAGGATATTCTCCACGAAATTAGACTCTTGAAATGAGAGAGAATTTTTGAATTCTAAGTCTCATTAAATGTCAAAAGTGATTACAAGAGTAGAAATTACAAATATATAGAGGTAGGTAGCTTAAGGAGCAAGCTAACCTTAACCATGGTTCACTAGGAACCATGGTAAGGTTAGTTGACCTTCCAAGTGAGTTTAGAAACTTGTGGAGCAAGCTTCTCACTTAGCTTGCTTGGGAAGCAAGCTAAGGAGAAGCTTGTAGCACAAGCTTCTCAACTCCTTGAGAATGAGAGAATCAATTCGGCCAAAGAGGAAGCTAGGCAATGGGCGGCCAACTCAAGTTTTACTCCTTTTGATTATTTCAAAAATGTTTGATTTGGTTTAGTTAGGTTCATCCAATGATGATGAAACCTAGCTAAATCAAATCTATGAAAAATTAGGAGCAAAATGAGTTCTATATGTAAAATTTTGCCTAGGCCCAATTCTGGCCCAATTACTAGTCACACCCTCAAGCATTGCTAAATGCCATCCCTCTTTTCCTACTGAAAAAAAATAAAAAAAATGAGTGTATCAACAAAGGAGGTTAAATGGAGTCAAACTCTCCAAGTAACCCACCCTAGAATCAATATACAATGACTAATAAAAGAAACTAAAGTGCCTCACAAATATAAAGACAAAAATAACCTTCTCTTTATGATAGAGTAGTCCAAATTGAAGAGTACCTTGGGCTTGGAAAGCGCACTGATCTTCAAGGTGTCAACTGGTCTTCAAGGTGGCCATAGCTCTAGTGATTAGGCCCTTGGCCCATGGTCCATCATCCCATTCCTCTTGGTTCTTTCAATGTATCACCTCTTGGATTCCTTGGCCTTAGCCATAGTCTATCAATACTCAAGGTATTATCGATTGGCTTAGTTTATAATACATTCTTGCTTATAGTGGATGACTTGTAATCTAGGTTGATTATGGAAGATCAAATATGGCTTTCTAAGGAAAGTGAACCAGTATAGATTGATGTGAGTCTTTCTATCCCTTCTCTTATTTTCGTGCTTATCTTTTCTATGGTTTATTGTTCTTGAATCTTTCTAGTATAATTCATGAAGTGTACATATGTACATTGTTATCTTTCTTTGATAAAACAAGAGTTAGTCTTTTGAAAGGTCAAGATAATTGTTTTAAGAATTTGATTTCAAGATTAAACCTTCTAAGGTTGAAAATTGGGGCAAGGTTTCCGCGATGCATTTTAAAGATTTTTTAACATCAATTCATTCCCTTTTCTTGGTGAGCCTTATTTTCAATAGGGATAAACCTTAAAAATATTATATGGTTTCTAATGAAACATTGTTATTATTAGAAAATCAATATAAAATTTCCAACTATGAATGAAGAGTACGAAAAGTTATGAATGAAGAATCATGAAAAAAAAAGTCTTGAATGAAGGGTCTTTTCAAATCCTATAAATAAGATGTCTTGTAATGAGATTAGTCACTACCAAGTTCGCCACCCAGAGAAGGTCACCTCCCAATGAGGGGATCTACCTATTGAGAGAGAATGGGTTGCTACCCAATGAGAGAAAGAGAGAGTCACCACTCTATCTGAGGAATGGAATTTTGTAATAGGAGGGTTTCTCAAATTTTTCTAGAAAAACTTCTAATGTGATTTGAGAGAATGAATATCTATTGAGATGTTCCCGTGAAGGTGGACAAGAGGTGTTTTCAACTAACATTTTACATTTCCTATTCATCTGAAATCAATAAGTAACAAATAGAAGATCTAGTAGTCACATTTTTCATGCTCTTTTCCCTCATCTTCCTAGTTGGCTATTTAGAATATTTTACATGGTCGTGCATTAGTTTTTTATTTTTCTTTTAAACTCTAAATTTTAATAATAATAAAATAAACTATTTTTTTTTATAATAATGCAAATTGAAAAAACTCGCATGCATATTTAATAATAGATTTGTTGGCTTATTTAAAATTAAGTTTTATTAACTTATTTAATGTTAATAATGTAAAATAGACTAATAGAGTATACCAGACTTTTATAAAAAGGTCAAGCTAGACCTATAAAAAAAATTCATCATAGATAATAAGTCAGATTTACGCTTTAATTTTATAAAACAAGTCCGACTTGTATATTCATGGTCTGGTTTGGCCTATCGAGCCTAATCTATTCCTATCCACAACAATCGAAAGTAGGAATGAAAGTAGAAAAAGACTAAGTCATAAACAGAGACCTATGACCGTACTTGGGTTATGAAAAACTATCAGGCATAATAGACCAACATATTTATCAATATAATACAAATAAAAAATACTATACATATTACATTTTTATCAATATAATTAAATAAATAGGTTTATAATACAAAAAATTAAATTATCAATAATTTTTACATTTTTATTACACTTAAATGTTTTATATTCACGTTCGTATGAAATCAAGAAAATGAAAATAAAAAATCTAGTGTTTACATCTTTATCTGTCTTCTTCCTTCATCTTCATGGTTGATTATTTAGAATATTCTAAATGAAATATAAAAAATAGACTTAAATATGTTTTTAATCCCTCAAATTATAGATAATTTTTTTTTGTCTCTCAAATTTAAACTTTTGTTTTTATTTCCTATAATTTTAAAAAATCTTATTTTAGTCCCTTAGGTCACCAATAACATATCTGAAAGTGACAAATTAAGACGACTATGCAATATCAACTGGATTTAATGTGATATTTTTGCTAACAGGAACACCAATAAGTAGATTTTATGTAATAATGTTTGATAAATTTCTTAATAAAATTTGAATATAATGACTAAAATAAGATTTTTTGAAATTACAAGGACTAAAAATAATTTTAAATTTGAGGGACTAAAAATATATTTAAACCTAAAAAAAATTATGATTTTTTTGTAAGATTATTTTCTTTCATCATAGTTGTATCTTTGTCACTCTTATGTTAGTTTTTTTGAACTCTAAATTTAAATATAATAATAATAATAATATAACAAATTATTTTTTATAATGAAAATTTAAAAAAAAACTAACATACATATATAAAAATAGATTTATTAACTTATTCAGAATTAAGTTTATTATTCAAAATGGAGTTATTAATGTAAAATAGACTTTTAATTAGACTAATAGATCATGTTAGACTTTTAAAAATTGTCAAATCATTCCTATAAAAACAAATTTATAATAAATAATAGATCAGACTTAATTTTAATTTTATAGAATAAACTTGACCTAAATCCTAAATTTATATATTTAAAATTTGACTTGACCTAACTTATTCCTATTCCTAACTAGATGCGGTGATTAATTTTCGTTGAAAGTTTTAAACATACACAAGATGAATATTTTCTTCTTAATATAATTTATTTTATATTCAAAATTAAAACTTAAACTCTAAGCAACTTGATTGAGAAACTCAATCTACTACTCTTCGATTTTATTTCGATATGACCATATGAGGTAAGAATTAATAAAATGCGTGATTAGTGATATATCCTTACTATCAACTATTTAGAAATCCACAATTTTGCATTTGAAGATTTTCTCTTTAAACCTTTCGATACATACTCTGCATTATAAATACAACCCGAGAGTATACGAGTAACTGACTCTGATAAGCATAGGTTTTTGGAGTCTAATTTTCCTTTACTTTGTATAGTACTTAACTTCTACAAGTATCTATTCGGTGAAAATGAGTTATATTCTTTAATAGATAAAATAATAATAATAATGCAGTCAATTCTAAAGGCTCCAAATGACATTTTTTTCTTTCTTTCTTCAGTAGCTGCACTGCAAATAATCAACCAAAATTACAACATTTGTTTCACTTATCACCCAAATTTTGATTTTGGAGAGTTGCAGTTCCAATAAACAGAATCTAGCACGCTTATAACTCAAGTATAATTAGTTGTTTCTTGAAAGATTCAGAAGACAAATGGGATGACAGCTTTAACATGCTTAGGGAAATCTTCAAACTTAGAAAGATACCATTTCCTAGTTACATAACTCCTACCTAGCAAGTACAAAGTAGTGCCTACAGTGAAAGAGAATGCATAAAGCGTCTGAGAAATGAAGGAGACCCCATAAAACACCATAATCTCAAAAAGGTAGTGGGGGCATATCACAAGCTCAAACAAGCCACCCTTTGGAATCTTGTACTCCTTTTCACCCTCTCCTCTTAATTTGGATAGAAGGTAGTGGTGGTACAAGTTTCCAATGATGCCAACCACAAACAACGCAATGCCAGGATACAGAAGATTGATTGGTGGTTCTGGAAGCCCTTGTGTTAGGTGCTGAGCATAGATCATAGTTGCAGTTGATAGGAAATAACTCAGAGTGATGGGGATTGCAGAGTCAAGAAGCATCTCACCACTATATTTGTGAATAAACAGAACCTACACAATATAGAAAATATAACATTCTTAAAACCAATAAAAGAACAAGAAAAGACACTATCGTTTGCTTTGTGTTGAATAAAGAAGTATTTGATAAAACCCTGGTAACAGAAGTACTAATTTCTGAAAGTTCTATAACTAAACAGCAGTAAGACTGATTCTAAAAATAAATGAGACATTAAATTAGAAAAGTAGAAAATAAAAACGCATAATTGTAATTCAAATTCAAATTTTCTCCTGAAATTAGTGTCATTTAGATTTAATTTGCAGATTGCATCACGGTGATGTGACCTCAATTTCTGTTGTGGCAGCCTCTACAACACTACCGAGCCATGATTGTGGACTGCATCAGACCACAAGAACCGCAACACAATCATTTACCATACCATAATTTGAAACCCATTTGCATCCTATGCAACATATGAATCAATAAAAGTGAGTGTGTTAGAGTGTTTGAGAGTGTCACTCCTCTTATTCCCAACAATTTTGAACAAACAGAACCTACACAATTGAGTATAAACTGCCTTCAAAATTGTGCAGCTAGAAACTCTAAGCCCAGGTATCAGAAAGAAAAAGAAAAGGCAGAACTATTTCGGCACTGAGAAAACAAAAACACACCATCATTTCCAGTCAAACACTGAACCATTATTCTCTGCCAAGGTTTTGAAAAAATGGTTTGCAACCGTGATTTTGGTTGCAATGAGTCTGTTTAAATACAAGTTAGAAATGTTTTTTAGAATTTTTCTACCGAAAATAAAGAATATTTTTTAGTAGAAAATTCTTTAAAATACTTCTAAATTTATATCTAAACAGACTCGATGTCAAGGTTTTGGGTTATATGCAACCACAATAGTTGTAGTTACAGTGGCCGTGATTACCCCCAGTGTCAAGACTCAAGAATCGCAACAAACTCATGCAATTTTTTTCATTTGATTTTGTAAGAAAGACTAATCCGTGGACATACAAAGATCAATTTGAGACACCAACCTCTCCTAACATGTGTGTTTCCTCACACACAAACATGAAGATCGAACACCCACTTACATACTTAAGAGGCATAGTTATCTGCTAAGTGCTAACTACACTACACCTTGTTCATTGCTATCAAGTATGTGATAAAACCTCCTACACGCTACTATACTCCAAGGATTTCAATCACGATTCTGGCTTTATAACGATCTTCGATATCGTAAAAAACAACATACAAATGCAACTGATATAACCACAATTGCCATCCTGCAAACCCCAAAAACCTTGCAGTTGTGCAGACCAATTTTTAATGTCTCCCTAAATTCCACAATTCATCATCCTAACAAAATACCCAGATGAATTATAAAACGAATGGGATCTTAAGGTGAAAAAATATTACAAAAAAGAAGAAGAAAAAAAAACAATTTTGTCCTAAAGGGCATCTTTGGTAGTAGTGTGAGAAAGCAAGTGGAAGTTACCTCAAAGACCCTCTTGAAGAAATGGAAGGTAACAGAAGCTTGAAGAATAGTGGATCTAACCCCTTCATGAGGAAAGATCCAGAAAGACGCAAAGCCAGCAAGAAAAGCAGGAGTGTACAAGAGAAGCATTCCAGTTTTACTTGACAACTTGATCTGCCTCTGTGCAGTGGAGTTAGCATTCCAAAACTTTGAATAGTTCAAGTGCTTCCCTCTTATTTCGGAGAGGCCAGAGTTCGCCAGTGACACGAAGCTTATCACTGACATGCCCGAAACAACCAGAGACTCTGGCGGTGGGAAAATGAAGTTCATCAACATAGACACCATCGTTGTGACTTATGTTTGTGTTTGTGTGTGTGTGCGTATCTCTGTTTTCTCTCGGACCTAGCTAAAGATCAAGCTTGGTGTTGTTACGATAATATAGCCGCATATTTTGTTCAAGATAGGAATAGTGGGGTCCACGCACAGGGGTTTCTGGAATGTAAATAATAGTAATTAACTCGTAACCAAATTGGGGAGTCAAAGTGAATAAAGTGAAGAGTAGTTATCACCGTCCTGCGAGAAGAGCAATCTACATCCGAGTGCGTACTCAATCCACTTTAATTAACAAATATGGTTAAATTTTACTTTAGCCTCCGCATGCGAAATATTTTTATTTTTAGTTTTGAAATCTTAAATTAAAAGTTTTAATTTTCTATGTTTCATAGGTTTTACAAGAAAATAAATATTTTTATAAACATAATTTGTTAAAAATCATTTTTATCACATTTTTTTTCACAAAAAATATTTTTATGAGAAAGATGAGAATTCAACTTTTTTAAATTAGAAGAAAGTTTTAGATATATACAAAAGATAGTATTACCCCTTTTCAAAACAGAAAAAGAAATCCAACTTTTTTTTTCTTTCTCCATCTATATTGTCTCTCTCATTCTCTCTCCCTTCCTTTCTCCCTCTCTCTCCTTATATTTTTCTTTCTTTCTCTCTCTCTTACTCCCCTTTCTTCCTTCTCCTTCCCTCTCCTTCTCTCCCCTCTCATATTTATTGTTTTTTTCTCTTATTTCTTAAACTTATCAATTTTAATAATATTATTAAAATAAAATATTTTATTTGTACAATTTAATGATATTTGATAACATTTTATTTATTTATTTGACTAAAATAAAAGAATATATTTCTATATTTTTTATTTATCATGTAGTATTTTTCGTTATTTATTTCTTTTTGTAGAATTCTGTATTCAAATAATTTTAACTATAAATTTTTTAACTTTTTAAAATAATTTAATGTCATATTTATAATAAGATTTGAGTAAATAAATATATCTAATAAAATTATTTTAATAAAAGATATTATCGTAAGAAATATTTATATACCCAAAAATGTATATTTTTATAACCAAATGTGACAATCTTTAATTCCTGAAAATTCTGTATGAATGTTCTTAAGAACATTTAAAAGTATCCAAATAGATTTTAACTATTTATAAGATTCATGATTATAATTACCAAAAAATCATGATTCCTAGAAATAAAATAACTTCTACCTTACCAAATGTTCCGTAAATTCACTTTTAGTATTTTAGCTTCATAACCTTGTAATTTTGGATTTTAAATTTTTTTATTATAAATTTGATATTTTTAAAATTAGTTAACGTTGATTCACCGTTAATATATTATTTAAAATTAAACGAAAAAATATTGATGAGTGAGAGTCATACTAAGTTAGTCACATAAATAAATTTTAAAAAATAAATTTATTTTAGCAAATTAAAAATTTTAATTGAAATATAAAAAAAAACATAACATATTTGTATAGTAAAAAGAAATATTGTTTCTTACATGGAAGTTAATGTGATTAAGTAGTTGTACTTCCAATGACAACTCATTCAAGTTGAGAATCAAACATCAATCCTTGATTAAGGAAGAGAGATGTTGAACCATTTATGTTAACAAGATTTGGTGATGTGTATGTATGTATGTATCTATCTATATATATATATACTTACTCCATTCAATAATTCATATTTTATATTAATTTTTTTAGTAATCCAACCATTAAACTAAAAGTTCTTAATGCATCAATCATCTCTTGAATTTTTTTTTAAAAAAAATTCATACTATTTGATATCTTTTTCATTAATTCAAATTGATGGATAATTATAAAAATATTTTATACGTTGATTTGAATTAATGAAACAAGATGTCAAATAGTTTTAAATTTTTTTTAAAAATTTACACACTTAGGGGGTGTATTGGTTTAGGATTTCATAGGATTTTAAAAGGCTTTTTTGAGTAAAAAAAACCCATTAGTATTCAATCAGAATTTTATGTCACTTAAAAACAATTCAGTGGTATTCAATATGGATTTTCAAGATTTTTTAAAGAATCCATTAAAATCCATTGGTATTCATTTGAGATTTTTTACAACTTAAAAATAATTCATTGGTATTTAAAATATAAGGATTTTAAAGGATTGTTGTGTTAGAGGGATTTTGAAGGACTTTCTAGTGTTATCTATAAATACCAAATTCATAAAACAATCTCATCCAAACCCATCAGATTTTGGGGGATTGTCTGAAGTGACTTTTCAAGTGCTTCAAGAATTTTAAAGCGAGTTTTTCATCTTTTTTTTTCTATGCTCCTATCTTCTCCATTTTTTTCTGCTAATAATATTGTACTACTTTTCATTGCTCATATATAATATTATAGTATTATTCCCATTCCATTTCCTTATTTTGTGAAACTCTGATATGTAAATGACAGTGTCATTGACTTGCTCTATTTTTCTCTTTGTTCTCTTTAATTGACTTGCTCTGTTTTATTCTATTTAGTTTAATTCATTCCTTTATATAACACAAAAAAAAATGTTTGAAATTTCAAATTTGAAGTGGTAATTTTTTTTATAACACACATCAAGAAAAAGGGAAAGGTGAAAGATGAAATTGATATCATGATCTCTACAATATATATATATTTGAGTTAGGGTTTCTGTGAATAGAATGAGATGAAAATATATCTTAGTTGGGAGAAGAACCCTCTCTGCATAAAAACTGCGATTTCTCTCCTTCTTTTGAGTTTATTACTCTTATCTCTGCTCCTTTTATGACTTAACAATTATTTTATTTTTTTTACTATGAATTTTTCTTTTAATTTTTTTATTATATATTTTAAAAAAGTAAATTAACATAAGACATTGCAGTATCTAATTTTTTAAGGTTTAGGATTTATTCCTCCATTAACTTATTTTAAAAAAAATATTGTTAAAATATTTGTTAGAATAATTTATATTTATAAATATTGTTAAAAAATTATCATATAATATATAACTAAAATACTAATATATATATATATATATATATATATAAATATTTTTTCTGTATCTAAATACTTCCGTTTATATAAAAAAAATTTATTTATCTAAATAAAAAAATTATATATCTAAATATTTTCTCAGTATCGAATATACTAATTTTTTAATATAAAAAATTATCTTATGTTTCTATATTTTCGTTTTTACATGTTTTTTTATAATGGCTGAGGTATTTGATCCATTTAGATAGCCAAGATATATTCGATCTTGTATGATTGATGTGCTTCTAAAAATAATAAATAATTTTATTGATTTTGTCTCTTATCCATGATTATTTCTATAACTAGTTTACGACATATATTGTTTTAGTAATTAAAATGAGATATTCACAAGGAAATAATAAAGGAAAAGGAAAGAGAAAGAAAACTATGAAGCTTGGACCAAGGAGGATTTCGATGAATTGTTACAACTGATAGTGGATGCTATAAAAAGTGGACTACATGATGCTAATGGATCAATTAACAAACTAAATGTGGAGAGAATCATCCTTCCTCGTCTTAGTGCTAAAATTAAATTCCCTAAAATGTATAATCATTACTTGAGTCGAATGAAGTGGTTAAAGAAATATGTCAACACTTATGCGCAACAACTCTAGCTTTGGGTGGGATCCAATTACAAAGACATTCACCGCTAGTGATGAAGTATGGAAAGAGTACTTAAAGGTGAGATTACTTCGTAATCTTTTGAATATATTAATAGTTTACAAGTTTAGTGCATTATATTATTTTCAATATATTAATAAATGTATTTTTTTTTCTAATCTCACGCAAGTCACAAAAATCTTTAAGAAAAAAGTATGGTTGATTATATGAGGATTTGAAGATTGTTGTTGGGGGTAAAACCGCTATAGTGGGCACACTTCCATGTCACTAGACCCTAATGATACTGATGCTACAACTTTTGGAAAAGAAAATGTTGATTTTGGGATGGAAAACTTTTCATATGATCTTAACAATGATGTATTCATAACGCCAGATCACTATGAACCACCTTACTAGCCTCCATCACCTCACCCAAGCATTTCACCACCACAACCCCCTTTAAGTTCAAAGGTTCCCACTAAAAAACCAATTAATCGTAAGTGGAGTAGGTTGATAAGTGTTGTGATTTCATTAAGTTTATGGCCTAGTTTGCAACACTTATATCAATTTTCCTTGCTTTAGACTTTGTTTTTAACTCAAAACATATCTAAATTGTTAGGTGATCACATTTTGTTTTTGAATCATGTTTTTAGGTAACTTACAAGTATTTGGTTATTGTTTTGTAGTTTAGGAGAAAGCTAGGAAAGAAGGAAGGAAGTCAAGCACAAAGTCGTGAATTTGAAGTTGAAGGAATTTTTGGTTTAAGTCCCCAAGCCAAGCCCCAGATCCACGCTTAGTCTTAGCATGGCAGAGAATCCCTGGAACAGAATTTTGAGTCCCACACTGAGCGTGGAATTGAGGCTTAGCGTGGCAGTCCCAAAACCTCATTTCTCTCTAGACCTATCCTCAAGCTTAGCGTGGCATCTCACGCTTAGCGTGGATTGTGCTGACATGTCATTATTCACATAAGACAAAAGTTTTTATGACCTAAAAGTGGGATTTTCGAGGAGAGAAGCAAGGAGGATCATTCTTGGAGTGTGTGTGGTGGCTGGAGAGCTCTGGAACCTTCAAGATCAAGCTTCTTCCTTTCTTCATCATTTGTAGAGTTCTACATGTCTATGTGTAGCTAAACTCACCCTTGTTGGGGTTTGATGTAACTAAACCCATTCTCATGTGTAAACTCTAAGCTATCAATCTAAGTTGTTATTCAGTTTTATTGCTCTTTTTCTGTGCATAATGCTTGTTATGGCTTGATCACCCTTAACTTGAACTTAAGGTTTTTAAGAGATTGAGAAATGATTTTAAACCTTTGACTTGAAATAGAGCAGCTAATGGTGCTTATTGCTAGAGATAGAGTAAATGCCATTGGTCTTTCTTAAGCTCTTGTTTTTAAAGCTGGTTTCTAGGTTAAACTATGCAAGAGATTGATAGTTTAAGCTAGTAACTTAGATGCCAACTT